TATTGCCTGCATGTAGGTAAGTGTACCCATGTCGTGCAATGCCAGTGAAGGTCAGAAGAGGCTGTCAGATTGTCAGATCCCCTAGGACTGGAGTTACAGACAGTTGTTAACTGCCATGTGCGTTCTGGGATTCGAACCCGGGTCTTCTGCAAGAACAACCAGTGTTCTTAACCACTGAGCAATCTCTCCAGACCCTGAATAATAAGTAATTTTAAAAATTCTATTGTATATAGGTACCACATTGATGAATGGCCATCATCATTCCTCATCTGATAGATATTAAGGCTCTTGCCATGTCATAGCTATTGGGAGTAGCGCAGTTACGACATGAATGAGTGTGTGTCTCTGTACTCTGAAGTAGTCCTTGGCCATATGCCCAGGAGTGGTATACTTAGGTCATATGGTAGATATATTTCTAGTTCTCCAAGAAACTGCCACACTGATGTCCACAGTGGCTACACTGATATGAACAGTGGCTACACCAATTTGAACTCCCACCAACAGTGAATGAAAGTCTCCTGTTCCCCCACAACATCACTAGCATTTGTTGTCTTTAATCTTAGTCATTTGATAGGTAAGAAAAAAAATCTCAAAGTAATTTTCCTTTGCGTTTCCCTGAGAGCTAAGGCTGGTGAACACTTTTACGATTATTTTTAAGCCATTTGAATTTCTTCTGAGAACTCTCTGTTCAGTTCTATAGCCCACATTTAATCAGATTACTTATTTTCTTGATGTTTAATATTTTTAGATCTTTGTATACTCTAGACACTAATCATCTGTCAAAAATATAGATGGTAAAGATTTCTTCATAGTCTGCAAGCTGCCTCTCCCTTTACAGTACAGAAGCTTTTTAATTTCATGAACTCCCTCTTCTTGATTTACTGGGTGACTGGAGCCCTACCCAGAAAGTCCTTACCTGAGCCTACCTACATCCTGAAACATACTCCCTATGCTTCCTTCAGTGTTTCAGATTTTCTCATCGAATTTTGACATTTTTGATCCATTGGGAATTTATTTTTGTGCAGAGTAAGAGAGAAGGATTAACTTTCATTCTTCTACTTCTGTAAACTATATATTCAGTGTCCTGAACAACATTTGTTAAAATGCTGTCTTCTCTCCAGTGTATGTTTTTGGCATCTTTGTAAAAGCTCAGGTGGCTTTTGCTGTGTGGTCAGTCCTCAGTTCCTTTCCATTGATCAACGTACCTGTTTTTGTGCCAGTACCATGATTTTTTTTATTATGATAACACTGGAGTATAACTTAAAATCAGGAGCAGTAGTATTTCGTTTGTTTGATTGGTTGGTTTCTATTTGTTTTCAGTTTTTTGAGACAAAGTTTTTCTGCAGCCCCAGCTAACTGGGAACTCACTATGCAGACCAAGCTGGCCTCAGTTTCACAAAGATCTTTCTGATTCTGCCTCTTGCATGCTGGGATTAAAGGCCTGTGCCAGAACTCCCAGCTCCCAGCAGTGTTTTTATTGTTTGTGATTATTTTGGTTAACCATGATCTTCTGACTTCCAAATGAGATTTTTCTTTTTTTAATTTCTATAAATAATTGAATTGGAATTTAGATTGGAATGTTGTTGAATATGTAGACTGCTTTTGCTAAGATGGCCATTTTCACAATAATAATCTTACCAATTCATGAGTATAGGAGGTATCTTTTTCAATTCAATATCTTAACATTTTTATTGTAAAAGTCTTTTACTTTCTTGGTTAATGTCAAGATTTTTTGAGGCTATTCTGAGTGGTATTGTTTCTCAGATTTCTTTCTCAGTATGTTCATCCTCATTATATAGGAAAGCTACTGATTTCTAGAGGAGGGGGTGGTAGCAGTCTTACCCATCTGTGAATCTTGTGATATTCAATAATGACTAGCATGGCAAGATTTGCCCATGAATGTAGTAGTGTCATGGCTGTCATGAAGGTAGCCAACCGTTTTCTGATATACCCATGGATATTATGGGGGTAGCCATCTACTTTTTGACTGCACTTCAGGCCAAACACCAATGGGAAGCCCCCAAGGCCCAAGATGTAAACCTATTACTATTATTTTGCTAAATAGACAAAGTATCTAAATTTTATTTCTCTACTATATATTAGTGCAGCTCATTGGTGGTTAATGGACAAACTCACAACCAGTCAATGTAGAAAGAATATGGGCCTATAGAAGATTTAGCCATAAATGTGACATATCTATCATATCACTTCCCCCAAAGCTCAGGAAGCATCACACAACAACAGACAGAAAGGTTATAAGGGACAGAGGTCAGGGAGGACCAGAGTGAAACAGAGTTTTCTGAACATGTATATTTCTGTATAAATGGGGTTATAGGGTATGTGCACATGAGTGTAGGTGGACAGAAAGGAAAAATGTGACAAATTGTGGGGAGCTGAAGTTCCAGGTGGCTTTGAGCTACCTGATGTAGGTGCTGGGAACTGAACTCCAGTCCTATGCAAGAATATTATGGATTCTTAATTGCTGAGTCATCTCTCCAGACCCAATTTCCTCTTTTTAAAGCACATTTGCCATGTTGGATCAGAGTCTACTCTGGCCATTTAATTTTGCCTCTGTGAAGAATCTGTATCCAAACACAGCCAATTCTTGTAGCATACAGGGTCAAAACTTCAACGTATGAATTTTGGAACATGTAATAGTAATAGTAACCAACCAAAATCTCTTTTGGCCAGAATCTCAACAGAACCTGAAAAGAAAAAAATAACTGAACCTAAGGAAGCTGAAAGTTCCCCACGTCTTGTGTCTTAAGTCTATGGTCTTACAGATTAGAATTTACACTATTGTCTGTCCTCACACCTAAGGACTAGCAGTGACACATCATCCTCAGCTTCCTTGGATCCCAACTGTATGATTACAGATCTTGGGACTCTTCAGCATCCATAATCATGTAAGCCAATTATCATAATGAATTTTTAGATAGATTAGTGGTAGAGAGATGATAGATGATAGTCAAATGATAAACAGGTAGATAAAAACTATTGATTCCATTTCTCTGGAGATCTTAATTCAACAGAAAACTGTCAATAAATGATCACAGTAGGAACTGAATCTGTATTGCCTTGACTGACAAATTGCAGGAGTATTTTCTATGTTCTTAACATGATCCATGTAAAAGGAAGTTATCTTTAAGGTCACCCTTTAAAAGTGACTTGTCAAAGATCTTCCTCAGCAAAATAATCCTGAAGGAAGCATTAGAAGAAGAAATAACACAGCACCCAACATAAAAGAGGATTTCCTGAGCAAAGGCTACACTCACTGAAATCTCAAAGATAGCCATCAAAATATCTCAAGAAAGAAAGATTTGGTGATAAATTTATTCATGTTTGCACCAAATATTTTTTTTAGTTAGATTACTTTGGCCCTTGAAGTTTTTCCATTATTTTGTTCAAGACTATGGGGATCATATTAAAAGAGATGAATAGAAACAGCTCATTGATTCAACCATGTTCAATCCTACAATCCCATACAGGATCCCAGGCTAATATCAATCAGTGTTCTCATGTATTTCACTTTATTTATTCATTACTAAAATAAAACTGTTATGTTGGTAGTGTCCAGGAACATTTTGTTGTCCAAAAATGCCTGGAAAATCTGTAAAGACAGTGCAAATCTTTTCCAAAGCCCAAAGAAGGAAGTCTAGCAGATATAAACACATATTTGGAGAAAAGGAATCTTGCCTTATGATTTCACTGAGTTAAAATTTCACTTATTTGATGTATACACTAATAGTGACCCACCAAAATGGTATTTAGGCAGGAAAATTTATGAATAAATCCCATTTGTGGTGAGTATCCTTGCTCTTTTCAAACATTTTACTCAAGTTTGACAAATACTTGAAGTTTGACTACAACATGTAAAATATTGTGTTACATTCTGAATATGCAAAAGTAAGATAAATACCTTTGAAGAGATAATATTTGTGTGTAGAAGAGAAACATGAGCTATCATTATGTATAATTCTTTAGTTGCTCTTGTCCAGGTATGCAGATTATCTCATAAGACTGAAGAAGGAAGCAGAACTACAATCAAATATCACCAAGAGTACATGATATGTACACACACACACACACACACACACACACACACATACACACACACTTACACACACATACAGGAAGACTGAAAGAAAATATTACACGATTAATTTTGGCTTACTTGGTGAGCACTAGCCTAGATGTGCTACCATGAGAACACGTACAGTCATTAACTGCTTCACATGTATGCATACTTGTAGAAGGGTGCCTGCCAGAATTTTTCAGAAAGAGGCAAATATCATTTACTCAAGAGCTTCACTGTTACCCTCTGATACCTGTCAATCATTTCCTATCAATGGGAAATATCAATATTGATGATGTGTACTACATGTGAACTATATAACAAGATAACATGATTGAAGTTGGGAAGCTAATCCCAAACCTTCTACTACATGAAAGTGCAAGAAAAAAAAAAAAAAAACCTAAAACCTCTTAAGAAAAAGACTACTAATTTTTAAGGCATCCAAATATAAAGCCATCCAATTATCTTTTTTTATCCCTTAGACTGCTTAGAAGATAAAGACTGGACCAAACATGTCCAGGAAGACAGCATTGTGACAAGGGAAGAGAAGAACTGCAGAAGCTATGGCAAGTGGAAAGACAGAAACATCCAAAGAATGGCTTTGAAGCACAGTTTTTCCTTCATCACTGACCATTGTCATCATAGAAGAATTACTTTCAACATTAATTTTGACTACAGAGAACTGGAGTTGTTGCTCTAGTTACTACACATTGCTGTTGCTGTTTTCAGAATTTTTATTGATGAGATTCTAAAGGCCAAAGCACATTTATCTTTTTTTCTCAGTTTCATATAAGATCAGGTTAATTATTTTTTTCCAGAAATCTTCAGTAGAAAACTTATCAATATCCACTTGCCAGTAAAGCAATTACACTAGAATTCTATGTGGTGATTTTTACATTTCTACAAAGGATATTTCTTTCTTTTTCATATTCCTTATATATATCAAAATTCATAGTGAAAAATGATTTCTGGGCTGCAAAAGGGGATTTATTTTTACACCTATCTTTCATGCCTTTGTCCGCCAGTTGAACAAACACACATACAAAGTGCTAAAGATATTTCTGATATATGTACACTTAATATGCAGTACTTGAAATCAGATTAACTATTATATATGTATGTTATTGTTCTTTGGAGATTTTCATGGGGAAGAGTATAAGAATAAGATAGATAAGGTAATATAAAATATGAGCAATATTGTTTGCAAAATAAACTCCATTGCATTGCATGAAGGATCATGGGAACACTGCTCTCCACAAAGTAAAATGAGGTTCACTTAAAACTGAAGACCAGCATGTCCCTGAAACCCCACAAGGTTGCTGAGGTCATGAACCTGACCCAGTGCTCACATTAGTCCCTCCTCCACCTCTAGACCCATGTGCAGCAACTACTCATTGAAATCTCTGTGACTGCAAACCTAGACTTGTATAAAATAAACATGACTGACAAACCCTTAGCCAAACTAGTGACGAAAACGAGAGAAAAGGCAAAAATTGATTAAACTGTAGAAGAAAAAGTGAGACATTAAATAAAACAATGAAAGCCAGATAATAAAAAGATGTACTTAAAAACTTGTATTTTATTAAAATGGAAACTCTAAAAGAAATGGGTGAAATTTCTAGATGCATATGGCACATACAAAAATGAACCAAGGTTAAATAAATATTTTTTAAAACCTCCTAATTAAAAAAAAGCTAGCACCAGATGTATTAAATACTACACAAATTGCTACATCAAATATAAAAGGAAGTAATATTTCTATGTTATCTTTCTATGTTTTCCTGATACCAAATCCAGATAAGCACACAGAGAGAGAAAGAGAGAGTGAGAGAGAGAGAGAGAGAGAATGAATTACAGACTGATCTCACTCATGAACATCTATACAAAAATTCATTCTTAATAAATCACTTACAAACTGAGCTCAGGAGCATACCTCAACATCGCAAAGACTATGTATAACAAGCCTATTGCCGGTATCATACTAAATGGAGAGAAACTCAAAGCACTCCTACTAAGGTCAGGAATACTGCAAGGGTGTCAACTCTCTCAACTTCTATGCAATATAGTGCTTGAAGTCTTAGCTAGGGCAGAAGAAAATAAAACATATACAAATAGAAAAATAAGTCAGTGTCCCCATTTGCAGCTGATATGAATCTACACATCAGAGACTTTAAGGAATCCTCCAACAAAATCTCTGAAAGCCTTTAAACACTTTCAACAAAGTGGTACAAAATTAACACACAAAAATCAGTAGGGTTCCTGCATACCAATGACAAACATACTGCAAAAGGAATCAGAGCTATTTGAGAAAAAATGGCAACAGAATAAGGCATGTCCCAGGCAGCCAAGCTCAGGTTGAAGTGTGCCCGCTCCCTAGAGACTGAGTGTGTGTGCAGGACCATGTGAGGAACCTTATCACACAGGATGAACATTTTCTTAACCTTAGGTCCTTCTATATTGATCTGGAAATTCTGAACTCAAGACTTGGAAAGTAAGAAAAAATGATAATAATTGGACAGCTGGGATGGCGGTGGTACAGCTTCAGGTACCCGAGCAATGTGATGGCAGTGATGACTCTCCACACAAGAACTTAAAACATGACTCCAATAAGATGTCTCATCACTTGTTTCCCATGGCCATGGGGGAAGATGTGAAAAGAGTTGACACCAAGAAAGCCAACTGGACCTTCAACTGTGAAAAAGAAAATACTCTGACCCAACCACTTGTGCCCAGCAGGCAGAGCCATGTCCCAGTCTGGTCACCTGCCCCTTTGGGCCTGTGGCATTTAGGGCACTGAGGTGCTCAGGCAAAGGGGCCAAGAGGAGGTCGCAGCCAGAAGGTGGTTTCAAGCTCCCCACTGTTCCACACCTTGGTGATCCCCTCCTGCCAGGGGCTGGACCTGTGAATGACCACTGCATAGCACACTCATGGTTGGCTTGACCACCATCATCATCCAGTGGTTGTCAAGATCTACTTAAAGTCCTCAGCAGCACTAAGAAGCTGAGCTGTCTACACTTTTCAGAAAATGAACTAGAGGACACTGGTATAAAGCTGTTGTATGAAGCTGTGAAAGATCCCAGCTGCCACTTAGAGAATGTCAAGTTGGAGGCTTGTGAGTTAACGGGTGCTTTGTGTGAGGATCTAGCTTCTGCTTTTACTCACAGTATAAAACCCTGTGGAGAATCAGCCTGCTGGAGAACACCTCCAACACAGTGGGGTGATTGTGCTGAGGCAGGAAAACTGGCAAAATGTAACTTTCATGTATTTAGGGTGTGAATAACGAAGTTTGACGAGGAAACCCAAGCATTTCTAATTGACGTGGAGGAGAGAAATTTCTACTTGACATTCCTATGTAATGTAAGAGAAATAGAAAACAAGTATGAAAATCCATTCCAAGGAATCTGTGCATATTCTGATCCCAAACTGTGAACAAAGGAAGGGAAGTGGGCCCTTACTTTGGCCCATCTATGTATAAGAATTATAGATCACTAACATTCTAATGAGATGTGAGTTCTCTGGCACCCAGTTCAAATGTGTGATATAAGATGGATAGTGTTTTCATTTGCTAATAGAGGACATGAAGTTGAAAGTTGGGGGAAGGTGAAGGTGGAGATGGAGGAACGGTCTGAATATGATCAAGGTACATTGTATGAAATTCTTGAATCAATAACAAAAGAAATCAGAGAACCAAATCCATTCAAATGCAGACATACACACACATACACACACACGCACACACACACACACACACACACACACACACACACCTTGAAAATAAACCTAACCAAGGAAATAAAACACCTCTATAGCAACAAATTTAGGACAGCGAAGAAAGAAATTGAAAAAAACATTAGAAGACAGGAAGACATCCCATGCTCACGTACAAGAAGAATTAATCTTCCAAAAATGCTTATCCAACCAAAATCAACCTACAGATAAAAAGCAGTATCAATAAACATTCCAGAGCCATTATTCACAGAAATAGAAAAAAATCTCAGATCAAGGATAGCCCAAGTAATCCTGAACACAAAGAATGCTGCAAGAAGTATCACCATAACTGATTTAAGATTATACTACAGAGCCATAGGAATATAAACAACATGGTAGTGACACAAAAACAGACTTTCAGTTAATGAAATGGAATAGATATAAGTACACACAACTAAAACTGCCTCATTTGGGCAAAGATTTCAAAAATATACATTAGAGGAAAGTTAGTATCTGCAATAAATATTGTAGGTAAACCTGGATTTCAATATACAGGAAAATGAAACTAGAAAATTTCCTTCCTTCTTATCTTTCATAATACCAGAAGGTGCAATGCAAGCTTGCAAGAAGGAGGGGAGGAAGAGCATCAATAATTTTACCCAACTTTAAACTCTATAAACTACAAAACTATCTTTCAGGCAACATGTGCCTATACTCACCTGTGCAGTAGTAGCATGAGAATTTGTTAGCAATTGATAGCTGCTGAGACACACACACACACACACACACACACACACACACATGCACACATACACATATATGTGTGTGTGTGTATATATATAGAGAGAGGGGGAGAGAAAGAGAGAGAGAGAGAGAGAGAGAGTCAGTTTTCTTTAACTAAGGGCAAAATACCTGGTAGGTTGGGCAGGCTCCAAGGAATAGATCCACATACAAGAGACTTTGAGAAAAATAAATAAGACACGATAGACCTTCAAAAAAGAAAAATAAGAAGTTATTGACATGAAGTTGGGGGGTAGTAAGGTGGGAAGGAAATCTGGGGGAGGATTCTGAATATGATCAAAATACATTGTATGAAATTCCCAAAGAATCAACAAAAGGGACTGGATGGCAGTGAAGAGGGAAGAGCAGTGAAGAGCACTGGCTGTTCTTGCAGAAGTCTGGGTATGAATCCCAGCACCCACATGGTGGCTAATAACCATCTGTAACTCCAGTTCCAGGGAACAAATGCTCTATTCTCTTCTCCACGCACATTGCATTACACCATGCACTTGCATACATGTAGGCATAACATTCATACACATAGAATAAAAATAAATAAATAAAATGTTTTTAAAAAGAATCAAAATATTTGGACATATGCTACAGAGAAACTAGAAAAAAAAAAAGTTCATGTTCATTTTACAAAAAAAGTACATATGACCAGAGAATGTGCAACAGCCAGAATGTCCTCTACCACTCACAAGAATGTAGCAGACTCCTAATATTCAGGAAAATAGTACGGAAGTTTCTTAAAAATTTGACTATTCACCAACCACTGTCCCAGCCATTCTACTCCAGAGTATCCAACAAAGGAAAACAAACAGATCTGTCTCAGTCTCTTGTAAACAAACAATTATACAAGTTTTCGTTGTGAAAGTAAAACCGTGAAATGAATGGAACACTGCTCATCAGTTTCTACACACTTCATCATCCACTCGTGATTTTTTAATTGAAGTGTTTTAATTCCTTCCTCTGTTCAGCTGTTATGCTGAGATCCATATTTAGTTTTATAAGCTTCTCTCTCTTTTTTTGATGTTTTGTTTTTGTTTTGTTTTGGGGTTTTTTAGCTTATGAATTTTTGTTTGTCATGAAAATGTAAAAGTAGAATATTGATACATTTCAGTTTAGTTCTGTAATGTCAGCAATTTTTCAGAAACCTTAAAAGATGTACTGGAGTTTTTTCTTTGTACATAGAAACTGGATGCCACAGTGAAAAGAGAAAGAAAGAAAGAAAGAAAGAAAGAAAGAAAGAAAGAAAGAAAGAAAGAAAGAAAGAAAGAAAGGGAGGGAGGGAGGGAGAAAGAATTAGCTATGTATGTACACAATAATCTGAGAAGATTCCAAAACCATTATTCTAAATAAAGAAACCTACACTATAAAAAAAAGAGTACAGTCAACCTACATCAAATTCTAGAACATGAAAAATAATTTACAGGAAGCAGTTGAATAATTGCCTGAGCTTCAAAATGGGTGGAAGGGTAGATTGCCAAGGACTACATGAAAATTTTTGTCACAATGGAAATGTTCCTTTTGGGCAGTTATTTCCTGCCTATGTATAGATGT